ACGACGGGCGCCATTATTAGGAAACGCCTACCTATCTATAGCAAATTAGAGCGCGTTTCTGAACATCGAGACCAGACCTTTCCGATCCAGCAGAGTCAGTAAGACGTCTGAAACCTTCCGAAATCCTGATAACGCTTCTAAGAGAAAGAACAACGGGGTTGGGAGTACCCAGCCTCCGCCGGGAATTTACGGCATCTCTGAAAGCGATCCTTTCCGAACGAATTAAGCGGTACACGGGATCGGGCGTACTCGACCCCGCCGGGAGTTCTCGGCCCCTCGCTAGCTTTCCGTCCACCTTAGGCATCGGCAACATTCTCGTGGCAAGGGAGTTCCCTGCCACGGACGGGAGTTTTCGTCGGCCGACGCTTCCCGAAATCCGCACCCGCGATCCCAATGCGCGAATATAAAATCCGACCGGGAGACAACTCGACGGACCGACTGTTAGCCGCCATAATTAAGGCCGACGCGCCATTAATACGGGAGCGCTAAGTCCCGCGCCGAGGGCCGACCCGCGCCCTAGCGCGTCACCGATCGACACCCGAAATCGATACACGCGTCAAAGAACCGCCCACCGCCCACCGACGCGACGGCAACGGACCACCCGACCGCTAACAGCTCCTGCCGGATTTACACTGCGCGATTAATCATCGATACACGACCGAACACCCAAAAACGCGAACCGCGCTGCGCACGATCGCGGTGCATTGTATGCACCCTCCGACTTTATACATACTCGCAGACCGATATTACACGTACTCGCACACCTACATTGCGTAACCGCACACATACATACATTATCCGTACGCGCACACCGACATTATACGTACTCGCACGCATACCTCGCGTACTCGCATACCGACATTATACGTACTCGCACACATACAACGTCCGCCAACCGACCCAGACGCTCGACGTCGCTGGTGCGCTCGATGATATCCGACGAAAAGTATCCACGTACGTCGACGCGCACCCTGACGAATTCAGGTCACAAGGCGAAGAACCTGCAACCACCGTTGGGCGCACGTAATCACCGAGAATCGGTGATGCGCTCGGGTACCGACCAACCGATACCAGATACACCCGAGTCGCATCCACCAGTTCTACGATCGACCAACTAGCGTCCAACAGTCTTGGGAGCAGGCCACCGTTGACCTCGCCGAGCCAGCAAGGGCCGGCACCCGACCGCACCAGCCGATGCACCTCCGCTGCCAGGACCGTCCGCCCACCGGCCCAACCGCCAGACCACCGAGCCGACAATTTCAACGCAAAACCCGCGTCAAAATATATCGGGCCGCTCGAAGTTCGCCGAATTATCTCGCCCGTCATCGTAGACCTGAGGAGCAAGCGGGGAAAATGGTACCGACACGTACACGTACAGGATCTCAAAGTCGCAAAAAAACAAAACAAGACGGCGACGATAACAACACCGACGACGAAGAAGATGATACCCCCACCACCGGCGAAGACTAAGAAACGGCCGAAATAAAAAATCCAGGCACAGATAGCAAAGATGAGTCAACCCGACGACATCCTAGCTGCGATCAACGAGCTATTAGACGACCCGCTGTTCGCCTACGATCCGCCGCTGCCAGGACCGTCCGACCAGCAAAAACCGCCGCCGAGCAGCCGTCCGCCAAACGGGCCAGCCACCCGACCGCCGAGCCGACCGCCAAGGATCGGCACGCTGATCCAACGCTCCGACAGGGTCAATCAGCGAAAGATGGAGCAGCTGATGCAAGCACCGCCACCACCACCGGCCCGTCCGCGCCGACCGGCAACCGCACCGGCCCGCACAAAACCGCGGGAAACTACCACCAGCGAAGACCAGCCGCCTCAATTACTGATGCCGACGGGACCACTACCGCCACCGCCGATCCGAGTACAGGTGGAACCCGGCATCATATTTGATGTACTACATTTCGCGGTACACGTATCGCGCAAATACAAGGTTCGATCATTCCAAGGGCATTGGGTAATGCGCTTCTCCAAGACAGTAAGACGCCTGGAAAACCGCCTAGATCCTTAACCGCTCAGAGAGAGAGAAAACGGGGTCGGGTGTACTCAGCCTCCGCCAAGAGTTTGCGGCATCTCCGGGAGCGATCCTTCCGAAACCGATTAAAACGAGGCAAACGGGAACGGGCGTACTCGTTCCCGTCGAGAGTACTCGACACCTCGCATAAATCCGACCACCTGCGTGCAACGGCAACCTTCTAGTGGTGGGGAGTTCCCTGCCATCGACGGGTATTCTCGTCGGCCGTTGCACTCCCGAATTACACGGGGACAGACCATCCCGACTTACTACCAAACGCACTAGACACGCTTATCTAATACGGCCCGACCGCCATTACGACATCGGGACTCGCCATTGATACAGCGCGCTAAGTCCCGCGCCAGGGGATGACCCACATCCCTACCGCGCCACCGATCGACATACGCGATCAATACCTACGCGTCGGAGGACCGCCCACCGGGCCGACCGCAATTACCGCCCGACAGCTAACGTCATCTGCCGAAATCACGGCCCGCGAGCTATAATCGATATTCGATCGATCCGCCGGAAACTCGAACCGCGCCACGCATCCGTGAGTTGCATTGGATGCACCGCGCCCCAATACGACCGTACCGCTGCACTTCCTGCATCGTACACGCATTTACATTATATCGATATCGATTGTAATCATTTATACATCGCACACCGCCGTATCGCCGTACAAGCAACCGCACACCTACATACATTATCCGTACGCGCACACCGACATTATACGTACCCGCACGAATACCTCGCGTACTCGCATACCGATATTATACGTACTCGCACACATACATTGCGTAATCGCACACATACATTGTACATCCTCGCATCTATACATTATCCGTACTCGCACACCGACATTATACGTACCCGCACGCATACATCGCGTACTCGTATACCGACATTATACGTACTCGCACACATACATTGCGTAACCGCAGACATACATTGTACATACTCGCATCTATACTTTGTAACGATACGTTACCAGCCTCGCGGGCCGACCGCAATTCTGAGGCTCGGCGCTTATGGCGCCCCTAAACTTCCACACCCGTGTCTCGGCCCCACCGTGGGGCCGCCCCACCACGCGCCGACTCGCGTGAGTGGGAGGCCGGCCGCCGGTATATAAGGCGCTCCGGCGAGCGTAGCGTTA